GAAATGGACAGACTCTGGTCTCCAAACACATGTTCACTGAAAAGGTTACTGAGGGAGCCAGCAGGTGGCTGTTGGTTAAGGCACTGAACTGCCACATGTTTGACCATGGTACAAGTCTCGGACCTGAAAGCTCACTTTCTCACTTTCTGTCTCTCTCTGTGTCTGTGGTGAGCACACATGCCCTATAGCAAATTAAAAATAAGTATGATAAGTTAAATTAGATAAATAATTCTTAAAAGAAAATTTAAAGTGACTTAGAAAGTTTGTTTATATAACAAAGAGTAGGGCAAGAAGAAGAGAGTTTAACAAAATATTTGTCAAGATTTTATATTAGCCTATTTAAAATACTGTAGGCAACTTATCATTCTTTATATCATAACTCAAGAACACTAGGATAAAGGAAGGGTAAGGGTCACATTGTCATCCTTTTAACTCTAAAAGTTTGTTTTCTATAAACTATTAGGTGGCCAAGAAAGTTGTGATGTACTTTTCCATAATAAAACATGCCTCTTCAGGCAAAACCCTGGTAAGCATGAGGACAACCAATGTCTCAGGTTCATATTTTACTCAGGCCTTGAAATGTAATGAACCTCCTGTTCTTATAGACCATTACTAACTGCTTTTCTTTCCCAATTTAAATAAAGGCAAATTATTTAAAACTGCATAAACTATTAGGACTACAGACCCAAACCCCAGAATCAAATATGATAAACACTGTTTAAAATCCAAACAAAATTCTCTTACACCATAGTCGTTTTGGGGGTGGAAAAATGATGTCTTCTATTGCTGTATCACGTTCTCTTCAAGGTCCCTTGACCATTAAGTTACAAATGTTCATGTGACAGACAGATCTCTAGGGGCTAATGTTATGTGTGCCTCAGCCTATGTCAGCGGTAACTGTTTTGGAAACGTTTCTATAAGCAGTGAGGCTACGTTTTCCTTTTGTGGTATCCCACAACCTCTGCCCACACTTAGATTTTTTCTTTCAATATAAGTCATTGCTAGGAAAACAAAGAGTTTATCCATTCTTTTTCACAAAAAGTTCAAGGACTTATTCTAAATACTCATCTCCCATCTTCTCTTTGTATTTTCTAAATAAGTTGTGAGAATATGTTTATATTTCATTGAAAAATATATTTAATTCATTTATTTATTTCTTCCTTGAGAGAGAGACAGCTACTCCAAACAGGTCCTCATGCCATGATCCACCGCTAGTCTCAGGCAGCTCAGATCACAGGCATGTGCATGCCCAGTGACTCAGGGAGATCCAGACACAAACTGGACCTTTCCCATGTGGATTCAGATGTGTTATTGCTGCTTCACCCACTAGTGGGCCCCATCTAGTAAAAGCTTTGAACTCTAATTAATCTGTTGGTTTAAAGATAGTATTTGGAATTTTCCCGATCAGGAAAAATTCTAAATTTCTATAGATCTACACATCATTTTGAAGAAACATAATTTTTTAAAGAATTATTTAATTTTATTTCTTACTGTTTTTACATTTTTGCTATAGGACACATGCACTCACCAGAGAGGGAGAGAGCGAGCAAGAGAGATTAAAGTGAGAAAGCAAGCCACTAGATCCAGGATTAGAACAACTGTTATCTATGTGGGAGTCTAGTGCCATTAACCACCACACCACCTGCTGGCTCCAGAAGAAACCATTTTAAAAGACAATTCATCTGCTGGCAGATGGCGTAACAGTTACATCACTGGACTCTCACCTAGTCAACCACGGTTTGAGTCCTGGATCCAGTGGCTTAAAAAACTAATGCTGGGTGTGTGTGCCTGCTTGCCCAAAATTCAGAGAGGATGACAGAGGAAAAGGGATTGCTGCATGGTCATCCCCACTGGGGGCTGATTTCTCACTTTCTGTCTCTCTGTCTCTCCAGTGAGCACATGTGCCCTATATCATTAAAAACAAAATTCCAAATGTAACAGGTTATCAATAATTGATTCTAGGGCCGGCAGGTGGCGTGGAAGCTATGGTGTTGGATCCCACATGGCCAACTATGTGGTTCAAGTCCTTGACCCAGTGGCTTGAAAAATCATACTAGGAACAAGTACATGAGTGTCTCAAATCCAAAGAAGCCTAGAGTAGAAAGGATTGCGGCATGGCCATTCCCCCTGACCCGGGAAGTAATTTTTCTCTTTCTCTCTCTCTCTCGGACAAGCAACAGGACCCTATACCAAAACTAAAAATTTATGAAATAAAATTTAAAAGTTGATTTTTCTGTTTAAATAAGAAAGTGCAAAATGAGTCACTTTTTTCTATTTCTTCTCTTCTTTTTTTTAATTTTTTTTTTCCTGTTGGCTAACAGGCTTGTGCAATTGCCAGAGGAAGACAGAAGACACAGAGAGGTGGACAGGAGAAAGCATCCTTCATAGGGTGGTCACACCGCAGTGCATTCTCCTCCTCCTCTTCCTCCATTTGGAATTTTGGGCATGCACCCTCATCTGCGTGGCACATTTCTCAAGCAACCAGGTCCAGGATTTAGCCTGCATGGTTGATCATGTGGGATCCAGCTGTCTTACCCAACAGGCTATGGAGAAAGCCTATGATTTTCTTGTTCGGTGAAGTGTGTCATTACTATTTTAATTAGTGTTCCATTGAATCTATAGATTGCTTTAGGTGATGGAAGCATTTTAACAATATTGAGTCTTCTAATTCATGAACATAGAATATCTTTCTTTTTTTGGTTTGTGTCTTCTTCAATTGCTTCTATCAGGGGTTTAAAGTTTTCATTGTAGATAACTACTCTTTGTTTAAATTTATTTCTAGGCATTTTATTTTCTTTGTAGCTAGTTTAAATTGAGTTACTTTTTAATTTTTTCCACTGATTTTATTATTGGCATATAATAATGCTATTAAGATTTGTATGTTGACTTTTTCATCCTGCAACTTTTTGAGTTTGCTTATAAGCTCTAAGAGTTGTGTGTGTGTGTGTGTGTGTGTGTGTGTGTGTGTAGAATCTTTAGAATTTTCTATATATAAGATTATACCCTTGCACACTGAGATAATATCACTACCTCATTTCCAATTTTTATGTCTTCTATTTATTTCTCTTGCCTAATCACTCTTAGTATGTTGAATATCACTCCAAAGCTATATTGAATAAGAGTGTTAAAAGTAAACATCTTTGTCTTGTTACAATTCTTAGGTGAAAAACTTTCAGTTTTGGGGAACCAGCAGTTAGCGTAATGGCTATGTCGCTGGACTCCCACGTAGTCAACCGCAATTCATGTCCCGGACCCAGTGGCTTAAAACTCACGCCGGGAGCATGTGCGTGCGTGCCCAAGATCCCACGAGGAGAATGGAGGAGAAGGGATTGCGGCGTGACCATCCCCCCTGGGGGGTGATTTCTCGCTTTCTGTCTCTATGTCTCTCTCTGGCTGGCTGGCGAGCACATGCGCCCTATAGCGAAAATCTCTCAAAAAAAAAAAAAAAAAAAACACCTCAGTTTTTTTCCATTCATTATGATGCTCACTCTGGCCTTTTTAAATGAAAAAATTTAACTTTATCTTTATTCAGTATAAAATCTACATTTTTTTTCCTCTGAAATATAAAACCTTGCTCAGAATCTGTACTTACCAAGTACAAAGTCAAGATAAAACACATGATTAAAAATTATCCTACTTTGTTTTCTTTATTTTTTTTTAGATTTTTGTCATAGGATGTGTGTGCTGAACCAGAGACAGAGAGAGAGACAGAGAGAGAGAGACAGAGAGAAAATGAGAAATTATCCCCCCTAAAGGAATGGCTACATTGTAATTCCCTCTCCATTCCCTTTTGGGGATCTTAGGTACACATGCACTTGTACTCAAAGTGAGTTTCGAGTCACCAGTTCAGTACTTGAACGATGGTGAGCCATGTGGATGTTCAGTGTCTTACCCGTGTCACCTGCAGGTCCCCAAATATTCTATTTTCGATTTCTGTCTAATATTTTACCATTGGGCACATGTGATTACCAGAGAGAGATACAGAGACACCAAAGGCAGAAAATGAAAATCATCCCCCAGTGGGGTTGAACACACTGCAATTTCTTCTCTTCTATTCTTCTTTCAAGATTTGGGGCATGCACATACACACATCTGGCATGATTATCATGCTTGGGTCTGGGACTTGAACCATGGTCAGTCATGTGGAAGTTTAGTGCAGTAACCATCACGTCATCTGCTGGCCCCTATTTTCAACTTTTATTGAGTAATTTCATATGTGAAAAGATATAAAAAGTAGTATAAAATACCACCATGTGTTCTTATACATCTTCAAAAAAAGATGAACTCATGATTTAAACAAATTTTAGATCTTATATCATTTCATTAGTAAATGTTTCAACATGTATTTGTAAAACATAAAAATTATTTTCTTATACATAAAACCACTTACATCATGACATCCAAAAATTAAAGATTCTTAAACATCATTAAATATGCAATAAATACTCAAAATGTCCTATCTCCTGAGTGTCTTACATTTTATTTGTTAAATTGATATAAAAATAAGTCCCATGCATTGAAAGTAGTTTACATGGCTCATAAGTTTCTCTGATCTATTAGTTTCTCTTCCTATTTTTATCCTGTATTTTGATGAAACTATTCCAATCTTATAGAATTTTTCAATAGAGATTTTGCCGATTACATGACCATTATGTCATTTACTGTCATTTATCCTTTTTATTGACTGTGTAACAAGAGATGTGAGAGAAGGTCACTTTCACGATTGATTCTACTGCATACCTCCTGCAAGAGACAGAATGTCCGGTGGCCCCATTCTTTACCTCGACCAACATTTCTAAGCTCTTTTACACTTCTTACACATGGAAAAGTTATTGACAATGGCACAGCAAAGTGGAAGTAGTTATTGGCACAGGCTTTTGAACTTAAAATGGGGAAAAAAATAAATCTTATATTTTACTAAAATAAAAAAAATTATTGAGAATACCAAATCCCTTTCACTTCTAGATTAGTGTTTGTGTGTATAAATGTATATTTTGATAAGTAGTTAAATAGTTATGCATGGTGCTCAATATTGACCAGTGTGGTACACTTTTTTGAAATGAACTATCATGCCCTTCAAAAAAAATAAGTGAAATCTAATAAATTATTAAAATATTTATAAATGTACATAAAATAATATACTGATTACATGCCAACAAAAATGAATCTTTATTTTTTTAATTTTTTCCACATATTTAGTGAAAAAGATGGCTTTTTGAACTTTTTTAATATTTTCCCATTCCTCTTCAATGTATGGCTTATTAGAAAACAACTGCAGCTTTGTATTTACTTTGATATCCAATCTGGTGCAATTCCAGTGTTTTCTGGAGAATATGCATTCTCATAAGGGGATAAAATGGAAAAGATTACATAACATGTTAGCATTATAATAAAGATACTTTGGAACTGTGGATCCTCTGGAAGGATGTCAGAGACTTCAAGGTGTCCCTGGGCCACAACTTATGAATAAATTGCCTAAGGGTGAGCAAAGGCTTTATACATGATTCATTTATTTGTTAGAATGTTTCTCAGAAACAATCTCAAAAATTCCCATTATTGGGGCCAGCAGATGGTGTAGTGGTGATGCTGCCCTGCTTCGTGGCCAACTGCAGTTTGAGTCCTGGACCCAGTGGCTTGAAAATAATGCCAGGTGTGTGTGTGTGTGTGTGTGTGTGTGTGTGTGTGTGTGTGCCCAAGATCCCAGGAAGAGAATGGAGGAGAAGGGATTGAGGCGTGAAGAGAATTAATAAATAGCATATTCCACAAGTGATTGGTAATTTTTTTTTGCATAGCTGTATGCTCATGAATTTTAATTTATTTCAAATGTTTTAATTGGGCCATTCCATGGTGTGGTTGATCCAGACGACTGGATCTCTGCTTCAAGGAGACCTGCTAGAAATGGAGGGCAATAGGAGGTTTCTCAAAGACCTACAAATAGAACTACCATATGATCCAGCAATTCCATTCCTGGGACTACCCAAAGGATAGGAAAATGCTCAGTTGGAAAAACATTTGCACATTCATATTTATTGCAGCACTATTTATGATTGCTAAGACATGGAACCAACCCAAATGTCCACAAACAAATGACTGGATTGAAAGTGTGGAACATATACTCTCTAGAATACTACTAAGCCATAAAAAGCAATGAGATCCTGGCATTTGATAGAAAGTGGACAAATATGGAAGATTTACTGCTCAGTGAAGCAAGCCAGACAGTGAGAGGCATTGTGTATTCCCACTCAATATACACTGAATGTTGTCACTCTGTGGCAGAAACTGACTGATTGGGAGGTATAAAAGCATGGGGAGCACTGATGAGAGCAATGATGATACTGGAGGCAATGGAGGAGGGGGGTGGAAAACGAGGGAGTATGAAAGGAAAAGAATCAAGAGGAAGAAGAAAGAAGCAAAACATTTAAGGGAACTGAAATGGAAAGAAATCTGTTGATCGTAATTTTATGGTGATATCTCTGGACCAATATGCAGTCTATACATGATAAAAATATTCACTTAGCATGCTATAATGATATGCAGTGATTAAATGTATAAAAATGGATACAAATAAAATAACAAATGCTGTTAAGTTTAAGTAAATACTGAATGTAAAACTTAAAAAAAAAAAAAGAGATCATGGGCAGGTGTCACTGAGAAGGCTCTGCACTATTTCTTTAATATCTCAGTAATGACTGAGCGCCTTACAGATGTTCTGGGCCTGACTGCCTGCTCCTGGAGATGACACCCAGGAATTTCCTTTAAACTGAAAGGAAGAAAATCTGACCATTGACATGTTCCAGTTAAGAAGCTTTCTGAGGCCTTCCCGGCATGGATACTGCACCCAGATAATACCTGAAGTTCAAAGGGATCTGACAGTGAGGGAAGACAGAATCATTGCAATAACAGTAACAAAGAGGACCCAGCAAGTGGCATGGAGGTTAAGGTGCTAGACTCCCACATGATTGCCCTCTGTTCAAGTTCAAGAACTGGTGACAAAAATCACTCCGGGCATGTGTGCATTTGTGCCCAAAACTCTGAGAAGGGATTGCAGTGTGGCTACTCCCACTTTCTGTCTCACTGTCTCTCTCCAGTAAGTGTATGCTCCCTATGGTCCTGGGGGAAAAAAAAAAAAAGATGAAGAAAAAGAAGAATGACAAAGAGGGAGAGTTCACAATCTAGATGGTAAAAGGACTCGAGAAAAGAAATTTTGCTGGGTAATCATATGGGAGAATAGAATTCGCTGAAAAAAGGAAAGAAAGTAAGTTGTGGGAAGGAAACTTGAAGATAATAAAGGTACTGTGAAATAATTAATGGGGAAGCAAAGATAGGAAGACTGTCAGAGAGCTAGGAGACTATTCTGGAAGAGCTTACATGGAAATGTTAGGCACAGGCGGGGCCATGGGAACACAGTCCAAAAAGAAAGGAGGCAGGACCTGGTTGGCAAAGGCTGAGTCTGAGGCTGGGGACAGTGGGCAGAAGATCAAGAGGAGACAATTCTTCCATGGAGCCAGAGCATGAAGACACATTCAAGGGTGTGAAGAGCCGTGTCCGTGTGAGCCCTTCCGTGTACACGGCAGGATCGGAATAAAGGCAAAGGGTGAAGCAGAGGAGAGGCTGTGAGCCACAGGGAGACAGAGAATAGGTCAAGGAGGTAGGATGATGTTCAGGCCTGTACACCATCTTCCTTTTTGAAGGATGCTTACAGACTCAGGCAGAATATCAGCTTAGAACAACAAACTTACATTCAAACTGAAACCGACTAGTGAAAGCCTGTACTTGCAGGGTAAAACCACAGAAGTACAAGTGGAATAGCGCCTGGAGGTTCTTCAGCTCCTCCTTGCTGAACTTTCCTTGAGACCAGGGCCACAGGAAGCAAATGGTGCCAAGACACTGACCCAGTCATGAGGCTGCAGCTCACCCAGACAGCCTGAGCCCTGAGTTTGTGTGGCAAAGGACGAGATCTGATGCAGGCAAAAGGAGGGAGAGTTTTCTGCTTCATGATCATGGGAGACCTTGAGTCTGGGGAGCTAGGAGGGAGGAAATGACAAGTTGGCAGAGTGTAAAGTGATGGGAGAAGAGACCTCTTCTCAGGGTGACAGGAGTTCAGAGTAGAGGAAGGATGGAGATGGTTACCTCTTACCCAGGCCAGTTTTCTCTCCCTAAACTCCCAGACAAAACCTGAGAATGGAAGCAAGCATCTTCTTCCTGGAACTCTCCTGGAAGGCAGGCTCCTACAGCAGCACAGCTCCCTCTTCCCGGTCCCCCCTACCCAGAGCACCCTCTCCACCCTCTTTTCCCTCACCATGGCTGTCTTTACCCCTGGACCCTGGACCCGACTGTGCTTTCCCCCTGGTAGCAAAGTCCTTTGAAGAGGAGTAGGAGAAGTGGGAGCAGCATTAAGATCTGTTAGGGAGGGACCAGCAGTTGGCGTAATAGCTATGTCGCTGGACTCCCATATGGTTGACTGCAGTTCTAGTCCCGGACCCGGTGACTTAAACTCACACTGGGCATGTGTGCGTGCGTGCCCAAGATCCCTAGAGGAGAATGGAGGAGAAGGGATTGTGGCGTGGCCATCCCCCTGGGGGATGATTTCCCGTTTTCTGTTTCTCTGTCTTTCTGGAGAGCACATGCGCCCTATAGCAAAAACCTCTCCAAAAAAAATTTTTTTTAAAAGATCTGTTAGGGAAAAGATGCCTGGCTGGACAGCAGCACTCAGGACTTAGAAATCAGCTCCCCTCCCCATACCGGGCGGTCTCCTCTGACTTCCCTTGCTGTCAAAACAGACAAACCTCTCCCTCTGCCCACTTCCCTACTGGAGAAGCCCACTGCCACCCCCAGAGTCTCATTTCCCCTCCACCTCTCCCACTGTCTGGCTTTCAGATTTTTCTCCCTGCTCTTGTCTTTATCATCCCCGTCTCCTCTATGGCCCCAGCAGCTGTAGAAAGAGTCCTGATTTAAGACAAAGCCTAAGGTCTGAAAAATTCAGTAGCATTTTTAGCCTTGGAAAAATCAAGTCCACACTTGGAGTCTCAGTGTTCTCTTCTGTGGAAAGAAGTGATGGGAAATACTTGCTGGTTCCTGGAGACCTTTCAGCAGCCGCCCTTCTCCTTACCTCTCTGTGGTGTTCTCCTGTCTACTGCCTGGCCTTCCTTTCTCTTCTTCCTGGTCTTCCCTGATTTCTTACTTCATCCCCGTCTCCTCTATGGCCCCAGCAGCTGTAGAAGGAGTCCTGATTTAAGACAAAGCCTGAGGTCTGAAAAATTCAGTAGCATTTTTAGCCTTGGAAAAAAATCAAGTCCACACTTGGAGTCTCAGTGTTCTCTTCTGTGGAAAGAAGTGATGGGAAATACTTGCTGGTTCCTGGAGACCTTTCAGCAGCCGCCCATCTCCTTACCTCTCTGTGGTGTTCTCCTGTCTACTGCCTGGCCTTCCTTTCTCTTCTTCCTGGTCTTCCCTGATTTCTTACTTACTTACTACTTTTGCCTCCAAGTCTGCTTTTGTGTCACATGTCCTGCCTGTTCTCCCTGTCCCTTCAGTCTCTCCATACTACTTTTCTCAATCACTATCAGGTGACACTAAGCATCTGGGTGCGGTTGTATAATCCACAGGCAGATCTTCGTAATCCATAGTGGAGAAGAGCAGCAATGGCAAGGCAGACTATCAGATAATCTAAAGAAAATGCTCCTTTGCTCAGTTTCCTCTGTGCTACTAACTCTGACGGTTGAAGCTGATCCATGTGTGAGTTTGAATTGGAAGTGGTGAGCTGGCAGCAGACCACATTCGTCCATGTTGTACGTGTTGGTCTGGAGGGATTGCACAGGTCTTGGGTCTCCACTCCTATACACATTAGGAGAGCATACCTGGAAGGCTGAGGATTAGCTCTGCTTGGGTATGAAGAGAGAGCAGAGACAGCCCTGAGGCTTCCCAGCACAGCTCATGGTCTGGGAGCACAGGTGAGCCATTGGTGGTGTCTAGTTAGAGAACTGCTAACTGTTGAGAGTAGATAAGTCGTTCTAGGGACTAGAGTTTTTGTAGAAGAACTAATTATTCAGTCTTTATTTTGTTTATTTTTCACTGATGTTTGTCCTGACAGCCTGAAGGCACTGGAAATACTCTTCCTTTGTTTGGTTATCATACAATTTGAACTAACTCAGAGCTCAGATAGCACCAAAAATAAACCAGGCACTAAGATTCCAGGGATAAAAGTCCTTTGGGAAAAAAATAAAATAAATCCAATTCAACTCTTTTCCTTTTCTTAGAGAGCAGGCTCATAGAAGAAGTGATCAGAATTACTGAAAAAAGATCTAAACCTAGATCATCCTGATACTGTTTCTGAATTCCAAGTTTAAAGAAAAAAAAAAACAAAGTTTTAGGCAGAAAATACCTGCTGTTTATGAGAAAGAGAACGATACCTCATGTATGAAGCAATAGAAAAATGTTTCAGAATTCTGAAGTAAGGCAGGTGATTCGGAAATTCTTAGAAAAAGTTTCTCTCTCCTGCAAGAGTAAAATTAATACATATTTGAATACTCAAAAACTTAAGGACTATGCCACGTAACATCCTGTATGAAACAAATTACCTGAGCAAAACCAAAAATTAACCTGAATGAAAACTCAAAAAAAAAATGATTACGAACAAAGATATCTTTAAATAATTATTAACATAATTTTAAATTTAACATCATTTTACATGATTTTACATAAGATAATTTTACATTTTAAATTCGTATAGTATTTAAGAAAAAAGATAAAAATTCAGGAATTAAACTTCATGTCATTTAACCAAAATCTGGAGAGGAAGATGGAAAGAAAAGAGGAAAACAGATTTTTGTAAAACATGCCTAATTGGTTACAGAAATGGAACAGAAAACGCTACCAGTGAAAGAGCCAGCGGATGGTGTGGTGTTTAAGGCAGCTGGATCCCACATGACCTGCTACAAGGTTTGAGTCCAGTCCCAACAGCTTGAAAAACACGACAGGTGTGTGTGCATGCATGCCCCAAATCCTGACAGGGCTGAGGATTGGAAGAACAGGAATTGTAATGTGATCATGCCCTATCGAGGGTTCTTTCTCCCTCTCCATCTGCCTCTTTCTGTGTCTCTCAGACTCTAAGAAATACATGTGCCAACTGTCAAAAAATTTTTAAAAAAGAAAATAGCAAAGTTAGTACAGAGATAACCAGGATTAGTCGATCAAAGAAATGAACTACATGGAAGTCCAGTGACATAGCCATTACGCCAACTGCTGGTCCTGACAGTTACTTTTTATATCACACCTATTAGAGTGGAGACAATATGAACAGGGATTTTGTTTTGCTCCCTAGTGTATCTTAGTCACCTTGGACAACGCCTGACAAAAAGTAGGCTCTGAAATAAATATGTGGATAAATGAATACGACATCTTTTTTAATACTGACAATAGTCTTTTATATGATGTTATTAAGAAGTTTAGGTAGTTTGCTTTTGTGTTCATAAGGAATAGTAACAATTGAGAGATTGAAATGTAAGTCTGCATGATGCCAAGTTTATGCTTATGAGAATACTAAGTTGGACTTAATCGAAAACTCTATCCTGTGTAAAACAGTGCAGTTCACATGGTAATCATAAAGCACAGAAAAATGTTGAATATGTTCAAAAATATGAAAAAAAATAAACAAAGGAAGGGTCTTTTACATAAGTTTGGGTACTTTTGTTCATTAGTTCTTATCAAGATTCTTTTACCATGTCTCAGCACAGAGTTTAAACCTTATTATTTTATTTTCTCTTAGCACAATCTACCCCATTGTCTTCTTGTGAGGCTTAGGAGGGTTGCCAAAGGGTGTGGTTATCAGTGGTTAGATTTTTAGAAATCACTCATGCTGTTTACTTCACCTTTCATTGTAATTAAACAATGATCTACTTTAGACATTATTATTTGACAAGCACAAGATAAAATACTGTATCCGCATCTGAAAGCGTGCAGAAGTCAACAACCCATTAGTTTCAGAAATGCCTTGATATACTTGCATCAGCATCTCAGTATAGCTGACGTTCAAAGGTACACATAATCCATTCTTCCTCATATTTAATGGGATGAGCAGATCTTGTTACCTGTTCTCCTAAAAGAAATCATAATTAAAAATCCATTCCTAGTTTAGTTTTGTTATTTTAATTACACACAGGAGTTTAATTTATGAAGGAAGTCCAACGATAACCCATAAAGAACAATGGACTTGGTAAAGCTGATCTGTATCTGAGTCATGGCTTGTTTGATTCAATAACTGAGAACTTAATTAAAGTCAGGCAAGTTCTCTGAACCTCAGCTGATCCATATATAAAATGTTGATCAAAATCCATGCAATAACTTAAGTTTCTTGGGCAGTTATGAGCATTAGATGAGATAATGTATATATAACAACTGTGTGTTTATAAAATATAAACCAAATGTCTTTTATTATTAATAGTATCATATGAATTCACTATTAGATTCATGATAACTTTCTTGTTAAGTTGTTCCCAAGCCTAATAAAAGGTACAGTTTTACATGTTCACCATAATCAACAATAATCAATCCCCTTTTTCTTTGTCATTTTTTCTTTCCAGCCTCTTTCTAGAAACAGATTTGAGGTGTATGGCAACCACACTATTTATTTTGATTAATACAACAGAAATGGAAAGAATTTTGAATAATGAAAAGGAATATTGAATAAGTACTCAGAGTTAATATGGGTAACACTATGGCTCCTGAGAACACACTTTGAATGTTAGAACTTGACGTGAATAGTATGACTCCTCTTGACAACAATGATGCAGAGGCACTAACACTTTCTGAGTAGCCATCCAAATCGTCCAAGAAGAACTAATTATTCAGTCTTTATTTTGTTTATTTTTCACTGATGTTTGTCCTGACAGCCTGAAGGCACTGGAAATACTCTTCCTTTGTTTGGTTATCATACAATTTGAACTAACTCAGAGCTCAGATAGCACCAAAAATAAACCAGGCACTAAGATTCCAGGGATAAAAGTCCTTTGGGAAAAAAATAAAATAAATCCAATTCAACTCTTTTCCTTTTCTTAGAGAGCAGGCTCATAGAAGAAGTGATCAGAATTACTGAAAAAAGTTCTAAACCTAGATCATCCTGATACTGTTTCTGAATTCCAAGTTTAAAGAAAAAAAAAAAAGTTTTAGGCACAAAATACCTGCTGTTTATGAGAAAGAGAACGATACCTCATGTATGAAGCAATAGAAAAATGTTTCAGAATTCTGAAGTAAGGCAGGTGATTCGGAAATTCTTAGAAAAAGTTTCTCTCTCCTGCAAGAGTAAAATTAATACATATTTGAATACTCATAAACCTAGATCATCCTGATATTGTTTCTGAATTCCAAGTTTAAAGAAAAAAAAAAAAGTTTTAGGCACAAAATACCTGCTGTTTATGAGAAAGAGAACGATACCTCATGTATGAAGCAATAGAAAAATGTTTCAGAATTCTGAAGTAAGGCAGGTGATTCGGAAATTCTTAGAAAAAGTTTCTCTCTCCTGCAAGAGTAAAATTAATACATATTTGAATACTCAAAAACTTAAGGACTATGCCACGTAACATCCTGTATGAAACAAATTACCTGAGCAAAACCAAAAATTAACCTGAATGAAAACTCAAAAAAAAAATGATTACGAACAAAGATATCTTTAAATAATTATTAACATAATTTTAAATTTAACATCATTTTACATGATTTTACATAACATAATTTTACATTTTAAATTCGTATAGTATTTAAGAAAAAAGATAAAAATTCAGGAATTAAACTTCATGTCATTTAACCAAAATCTGGAGAGGAAGATGGAAAGAAAAGAGGAAAACAGATTTTTGTAAAACATGCCTAATTGGTTACAGAAATGGAACAGAAAACGCTACCAGTGAAAGAGCCAGCGGATGGTGTGGTGTTTAAGGCAGCTGGATCCCACATGACCTGCTACAAGGTTTGAGTCCAGTCCCAACAGCTTGAAAAACACGACAGGTGTGTGTGCATGCATGCCCCAAATCCTGACAGGGCTGAGGATTGGAAGAACAGGAATTGTAATGTGATCATGCCCTATCGAGGGTTCTTTCTCCCTCTCCATCTGCCTCTTTCTGTGTCTCTCAGACTCTAAGAAATACATGTGCCAACTGTCAAAAAATTTTTAAAAAAGAAAATAGCAAAGTTAGTAC